TAGAGAAGCAGATAGGTGCTGTGGCGTTTGAGCTGGGACCCACCCAGATGTACCATGGGAAGCTCAGGTCGCTGCTAGATGCATTGACAGGGTCCGGAGTGAAGCTTCTCTGAAGATTCTGTCTATAGGTGACTCAAAGGCCTCATGTCTGGTGGTCAAGCACAAACAGGGAGGTGCTGCGCTGTGGCGTTTGAGCTGGGGCCCTCCCAGATGTACCACGGGAAGCTCAGGTCGCTGCTGGATGCATTGACAGGGTCTGGGGTGAAGCTTCTCTGAAGAGACTCAATAGCCTCATGTTAGGTGCAGTGCTGTGGTGTTCGAGCTGGGTCCCTCTCATACGTACCACGGTAAACTGAGGTCGTTGCTAGATGCTCTCACAAGCTCTGGAGTAAAGTTTTTTTGAAGGTTCCGTCAGGTGGTTCAATAAAGCACACGGTTGATGAGCAGATATGGAGATACAGGTACATGCCGCAGGGGCATCGCGAAGGGCACATGCATGAGCTATTTCTGCCTGTGAATATACCGTGTTTATTTCTGAATGAAAATCTTGATGCGTATATGATCACACACTTACAAGGAGAACCAAATTTAGCGTCTCCCATGTGGTAAGTCGAGAACCCTGACTCTGGTTGACTTCGGCGAAAGCTTGATTCATCGCGGCAATGTCGTGTGAGCTCACTTGTCCGAAAAAAGTATCGTAACCTGACTCGCCACGTCAGTCCGTATCTTGATGTCGCATGCCCCTCCAGTCTCGCGCACTGTAATCGAAACCAGTAACCAGACCTCATGTTTGTCTCTCCCGTATCGCTCACAGCAATCGAAGTCCGTAACTTAAGATCGCCGTCATCGCAATCTTCGGCTCGCACGGCACTGATGGAAGCCGAATCGCGGAGCAGCAAATTGGATTTCGGAAGCATAAAATGGAACGCAATTTCTCTCGAAGCACAACCAACAAACCTGACTTGCTTTCTCATTTTCCAGAGAGCAACCAAACCCACACTTCATTTCTCCAGCCTCGGTTGCAACCACTGCAGAAGCACCTCAACCGTGCCTACTTACTTCAAATACTCCCATCGGCAGTCAGTGCGTGATATCCTTCATCGCGCGAAATATTCCTTTTTTTTTTTTACGCTGGATGGGAACCATGGCGAATTCGCGGCTCATACCTGTTGGAGGTCGCGTGAGTTAGAAGCAAACGGTGGTGGGGCAATTGATATGCCCCCAACCCACCGAATGTGTGACTTGTGCTCACCTTCGAGTGAGTTGCAGGTTTGCGTGGGGTTGAGGATTGACTTCGGAAGACCCATTCGATTCGGTGCCACATGGCAGCACCAGGAACATTCGAGACCCAAGGAGAATTCGGATCGGTGAAATTCGAGAGTCGAATTTCACCCTTTCGATGTTACTCGAACATTCGCGAGTGTAGCGGTTCGAGGTTACTTGTGCGATTCGATCTTGTTTGCATGCTATAAATCTGTTTTCTTTGTATTGCATGCCATCATACTGAAACTCAGAGTTCTTTGTACAAGGTACATTCGAACACAAATTCCAGAGAGCTTCTTTACTTGCATTCAAGAGCACCACCTAGCACGTGAACGCCTATATCTCGGAGAATACTTAGGCAATCGACGTGTTTGACGGCTCGTTGGAAAGCTAAGACAGAGCTCTATCGTTTAGAACAACTCCCAGTTCCTGCAAAGTAGAGGAGAGTCCTCTACAACAGTGGTATCAGAGCTGGTCGGAGGAGTCTACGCGCGCGACAAGGAGCAAGCATGATGACGTCAAGCGAGGCCTCCCGCACTTCCTTGGATGGTGTCGTTGTAAATACCGGCGAACCCTGGGCAACCGCGACGATGTTCGACACGTCGGCGGTACCGATTTTCACGGGACAAAATTACTCCGCGTGGAAGTTTAAGTTCCAAGTGCTCATGATGGAGCGGGGACTTTGGGGATTCTTCGATGGAACGGAGAAGAAGCCGGACGACGAGAGCGACATCGCGGCATGGAAGAAGAAGGACCAAAAGGCGTTCGCTACGTTGATTTCGCGCATCGGCATCAATCTCGTGAGCTCGGTGCGCATGTGCATCAAGCTCGAAGCGTCGGCGCATGAAGCGTGGAAGCGGCTCGAGACCATCCACGTGAACAAGACTCTCCACGGCAAGATCCTAGCCCGGAATGCGTTCTACACGGTGAAGATGCGCGCGGGCGAATCGATGCACGAGTATGCGACTCGTGTGGAGGAACTCGGGGAATCGTTCATGGACCTCGGTGGAACGGTCACGGAGGAGGATTGGATTCTCACCTTGCTTTGCGGCCTTCCGGAAGAGTGGTCGACGGTGATTACGACACTCGATAGCGTGCAAGGCACTTGGACGAAGGAAATGGTGGTCGGTCGGCTTCTCCATGAGGAATCACGTCGCCGACAATTCGCGAATGAGAGCGAGGGGACCGCCATGTACTCCGGAGGGAGTTCCGGAAAGAAGTCCAAGTGGAGCAAGGGTGCGACGAATGAATCGTCGGGTGGGAGCGAGCATCGCGGCAAGTGTCACTATTGCCGCAAACCGGGACACTTTTGGCGTGAGTGTCGGAAGCGCCCGAGCGATTGGACTCCATCGAAGGCGCGGGACGAAGAGGGCAACGCGCACACGGCATCCGGCGAGGCCGATGATTCAAAGGAGTCGCTCGTGTTAGTGGCCGGCAACGGGAACAAAACTCCAAGCGACGCGTGGTTCCTCGATACCGGCGCAACGCAACACATGACGCACTCGGCGTCGCTCCTCAACAACATTGGTGCTCCGGGAGACGTCACGAGCATCGTGTTCGGAAACAACGAATCGCTACCGGTGGTCGGAGTTGGGAGTACGCGCCTCATCGTCGATAGCGGTCCGGTGGACGTGACGAACGTGTTTCACGTCCCGGGGGTGAAGGTGAACCTTCTATCCGTCCCGCAACTTGCGAAGAAGGGAGTGATCGCCACGATCGACGGTGCGAAAATGAACCTCTTTTGGAAGGGGGAGCAATTCGCGCAAGGTGTTCTCAACGGAGATATCTACCAACTCAAGACGTACCCGAGAGCGGCTTCATCCAACGTGGCGCAAGGCTCCAAGGCGACTCTCAAGGCGTGGCATAATCGGCTTGCGCACGCCAACTACGACTCGGTCAAGGAGTTGGCCAACAAAGGACTTGCGAAGGGAGTCGACGTGATCGCCGGCGACGACGAGAAGGGCGTGTGCGCGGCGTGTGTCGAAGGAAAAATGGCTCGCAAGCCATTCGGTAGCCGAATGTCACCCCTCGCTAAGGACCCGCTTGCACTTGTTCACATGGACGTGTGTGGACCGATGCGGCATGCATCAAAGGGAGGAGCGCGGTTCCTCTTAGTGATGCTCGACGACGCGACGCGGATGTGTTGGACCCGACTTTTGAAGGCTAAGGGAGATGCGGTCAAGGCGATTCAAGAGTGGGCGCTCGAAGTTTGCGACGATGACAAGAAGCGGATCAAGTGTATTCGCACCGATGGTGGTGGCGAATTCGTGAATGCGGAGCTCGAGAAATGGATGAAGTGCAAGGGCATTAAGCACGACGTCACAACACCCTACACACCCCAACAAAATGGAGCGGCGGAGCGGCTTAATCGCACGTTGGTGGAAGCCGTTCGTTCTCTTCTTCAACACTCCAAGCTTGGGAAAGAGTGGTGGGGCGAGGCGAGTTCGCTAGCGGCGTGGATTCGCAACCGTTTGCCGACGAAGGTGCTCCCGGGAATGACTCCGTTCGAAGCATGGACCGGAACGAAGCCGAACCTATCCCGCCTTCGCACCTTTGGGTGCCTTTGCTACTACCATATACCGGATCCTCTTCGGCACAAGTTGCAACCGAAAGCTCGTGCGGCGATCTTCTTGGGAGTTGCGCAAAACGAGCGTGCATGGCGAGTGTGGGACTTGGGTGAAAAGCGTGTCGTCACGTCTCGGGACGTGGTCTTCGATGAAGACAAGTTCCCGTCGAAGGAGAAACCCACTCAACAACTCACTTTCATCCTTCCGCCACGAGAGGAGGTTGAAGAGAGTGAGACTCCACCTCAAGTGGAGAAGGAAGCCGATGGAGGGGGAGAGAACAACGAGGAGAGCGTTGATGATGTCGTGGAGGTGTCACCTACCGAGGCGGCAACTACCTCCACACCTTCCTCCCTACCATTGGCCTTGACCCGCGAGCGTCGTGAGGTTCGTCCTCCCTCCAAGTACGCCGACTATGCTACGGTAGCCGTTGTGGTTCGAGGTTACTTGTGCGATTCGATCTTGTTTGCATGCTATAAATCTGTTTTCTTTGTATTGCATGCCATCATACTGAAACTCAGAGTTCTTTGTACAAGGTACATTCGAACACAAATTCCAGAGAGCTTCTTTACTTGCATTCAAGAGCACCACCTAGCACGTGAACGCCTATATCTCGGAGAATACTTAGGCAATCGACGTGTTTGATGGCTCGTTGGAAAGCTAAGACAGAGCTCTATCGTTTAGAACAACTCCCCGTTCCTGCAAAGTAGAGGAGAGTCCTCTACAACAATACCCATCGTTCTTCTCCTGTTGTTCGTCGGCTCGTGGTCAGTCCACCTGGCGCCATCGACCCAGCCGGCCCGCCGTTCTCTGCTCAACAAACACATTCCGCCTAAACCCGCACATGGACGCGAAGCCACCGCTAGCACCGCTCCAGTCACTCCAAAGGCTGTCCGCGCGGCAAATGATTCCGACTCAAGCGATTCTGGCGCACAAAAAAACGCGTCAAGTGTTCCGACTGAAGTGAAGTCTGGTTCCGAGCTCCCTCCGCGTGCTCCCGCTCATCATGTCGACTATGCTGGCGCGGCAGTCAAGGATGCGGGGAACAATGGCCTGGGAACGGGCGCGACGGTCACGGGCGCGACGGTCACGGGCGCGGCGGGCAAGGGCGCGGCGGGAAAGGGCGCGGCTGAGGTCGCACCAAAGAAGGTCGTAGCCAATGGTGCGGCGGGAATGGTCGCACCGAACAAGGCGGAAAATGGCGCAGCAGGCAAGGGTGTGGTTAACAACGGCGCACCGAAGAAGATCGCGGCCGTTCCCGCAGCGGGAATGGTCGCACCAAACAAGGGCGCGGCGGACAATCATGGCGCAGTAGGCAAGGGCGCGACAAAAAACGGCGCACCGAAGAAGTTCGCAGCCATTCCCGCGGCGGGAATGGTCGCACTGAATAAGGGCGCGGCAGCGGACAATGGCGCGGCGGGCAAGGGCGTGACGAACAAGGTCCCGGCGAACAAGGGAGCGGCAGGCAAGGGAGAGGCAGGCAAGGGAGAGGCCGGCAAGGGAGCGGCAGGCAAGGGCGCAGCGGGAAATTTCGTGCTGAGCGAGGCGTACAAGGACGCAGCAGGCAAGGGCGCGGCGGGTAATGGCGCAGCATGGAAGGGCGCGGCGAACAAGGGCATGGCGAAGATGGGCGCGGCGGGCAAGGGGGGGTCATCTCACGTGGAAAATGCGCATCCAGCCGCGGGCGCTGCGACCGCGCGTCACATCAACAACAACCAGCCTGCTGCGATGATGGGCGCGGCGGGTAAGGGAGAATCATCCCACATGGAGAATGCGCAGCCAGCCGCGGGCGCTGCGACTGCGAGCCACAGCGCCAAGAATCAGCCTGCTGCTGCGATGATGGGAGCGGCGAGCAACTTGAACAAACCCAACACGAACACAACCGGCGTAGCGCCTCACAAGGCAACTGCCCAGGACGTGGCGATCGTTCCCCAGGCGCCGGCGCCGGCGAGTCACAGCGCCGCGAATCCGCCTGCTTCTGTGACGATGGGAGCGAGCAGCAGCAAGCCCGTGCGTCCTCATATGGCGACGGCCGAAGACGTGGCGATTGTTCACCAGGCGCCGGCGCCGGCGCCTGCGACGGCAGCGGCTGCGCCGATGGGAGCGGAGAAGGAGGAAGAGATGCAGGCAGAGGCGTGGAGGAATGTGGTGGCTGATAATGAGAAGGATGATGAGAAGGAAGGCAGCGATGAGAACGGAGATGGTCATGGCAAGGACGATGGTGACAGCGAGAATGACGACGACAAGAATGAGAAGGACGATCATGACAAGGACAATGATAAGGGCAACGACAACTTGTTGTTGAGCGACAACGATAGGGAAAATGGCAGTGAAGATGAGAAGAAGAAAGACAACGATGCGGTCAGCTGGCATGGGAGTGAGAGCGGCAGCCAAGGAAAGGGAAGGGGCAGGGCTCAGGCCATGCATGAAGCATCTTCTCGCGTGTCTCGCATCAACAACAACAACGGCTGGGGGCCTCGCAACAATCAGCGCACTGGGTTGCACAAGGCACAGCAGTTTCGCATGGCGACAAGCAGCGATGTGATCCTTCCCAGGAGTGGGGCTCAGGGCACCGCCAAGGGAGCACCCTCCCGCGTGTCTCGCTTCAGCAATAACAATGGCTGGGAGCTTGAGGACAATCAGCGCACTAGGTTGCACAAGGCACAGCAGTTTCGCATGGCAACGAGCAGCGATGTGCTCATCACTCACAGGAGCGGGACTCAAGGTGCGAACCGTGGTGTGAGCCGTGGGAGTGAGATCAACGGGGCACAGCAATTTCGCATGGCGACAAGAGGCGATGTGGCCATTCACAGGAGCGGGATGCAAGGTGCGAAGCGTGGTGTGAACTACGGGAGTGGGCTCGGTAGGGCACATCAGTTTCGCATGGCGACTAGCAGCGATGTGGCCATTCACAGGAGCGGGATGCAAGGTGCAGACCGTGGCCTGGACTATGGGGGTGAGCAGCTGGTTTCTCTTGCATCTATGCAAGCTGACGGTGGAAATTAAAATGGTGACTACAACGGCGGTGATTCTGCAGGTGGTGACTATGGTAGGTGGTGATTACATCGACGAAGGCAGCAGGGGTGGTGACTATGGTAATCACTATTACATGGAGACAATGGCGGGTAGGGGGTAACTTTTAGGAATGGTATATAATTTGTGTATATGCGATGGCTGAATATATTTATTGTTGATTGGCTTGGAACATTTATTCCTGTTTATTAATGGCCATCATGTAAGCAAACAGCAACAAGCAGAGTGTAAAGAACAATAGCACTGGGAATTGGGTAAGAAGTTTCTGCTACACATTTTAAACGCCTTTATTTACATCCAACATATCTAAGCAAAAGTTATGTTTTGCAAACTGTATGGCGCGGCACATCGCAGTATTGTATGGTTGAGTGCGGTGAGAGATCTACACTCTTCTGGTCAATTTTTATTCCTGCGATATACATGATGATCGATTTCTATTTTTCGGTTTCTCAGCATTGTTTCCAGTCACTGCGGAATCTGGATCGTACCTAAGCCTAAAGACTGCCGGTTTCACGACTAGGCCAGAAAGCTTGCAGCGAGAAAGAAGTAATCTCCGGGACCAGGAAATACATACCTTGGCGGGAAACTACTTTCGAGAACCTAGTTCGTCAGAAACGTAGTCCCAGTGCGGTTTTCTTTGCGAGTAAATTACTCGATTCGTTTCAGCGAGTAGTGCTTCGAGAAGCTAAGCTTGTCCGCCATGGATCGCGAATGGGGGAGCAAGCCAGGAAGCGGCGGCGCCGCGTCCGCGCAGAGCGAGGCGATCGACCGGCAAGAGCCGCTGCGACGGCTGGCGCTCGAAACGATCGACCTCGCGAAGGATCCGTACTTCATGCGGAACCATCTCGGAAGGTTCGTATTCATACCGTCAAGCTACGGAGCTTCATTATCGACTGGATGATCGGCCGATTGTCCTTAATGTCTCGTTTTGAAAAGATCGATCCGATCATGGGAGTTACATTCCAGAACCTTTTCGTAAAGTGATCCGTATTTAGGTTTTGAAAGGTTCATTCCGAGGCGCATCAACGTGGGTTGGACTTGTATTTCCCGCGGAACGGTCTTGGAAGATTCGACGTCAAGTCCGTTGCGTTGTGCACCAAATCCGGTGGATGCGAGATTCCCGCATTCCTTTCCTCCGCTTTCCTCCTCCTTCCCCCTCCCCCCTCCTCCTTCTTCCTCCTACACTTGCCGCTTCTCTTTTGCCCTTCCACCTCCACCTATAGTTACGAGTGCAAGCTATGTCTGACGCTTCACAACAACGAGGGCAACTATCTCTTGCTTTGCCTACTAGTCATCACGCCTCATGCTTCCTCCCTTTTCCACCTGCCCACTTCCCTTGCGCACCTGAGCAGGCCGGCAGAATAGACATTTTGGTGAGCAATGAGGGAGCGGAATGCTTTGGTCCCATGGCGGAGATGCGTTCCGCAGCAACATCGAGACCAACGTGGTTGGCCTGCTGGCTGTCACTCAAGTCGTGGTGCCTCACATGGCGGAGCAGGTGAGAGAGGGGGAGGGGGCAGGTGGTGCGAGAGGGGTGCAGGTAAGATTGTGCAGAGGACAGCTAATAGATTGCCTCTTGATGTGCAGCAACATGGAGACCAACGTGGTTGGCCTGCTGGCCGTCACTCAGGCGGTTGTCCCCCACATGGTGGAGCAGGTGGGTGGGATGTGCATGTGAGTGTGTGGTGCCACACACACATGGTGAAACAGGTGTGTGTGATTGTAGCAGGTGGGGTGACTGTGTGTGTGACTATGGGGATGGTAGCAGGTGGTGCAGGCTGCTTTGGCCCCATGGCATAGATGCCTCTTGACTCGTTCCGCAGCAACATGGAGACCAGCGTGGTTGGCCTGCTGGCCGTCGCTCAGGCGGTGGTGCCGCACATGGTGGAGCAGGTGAGAGAGAGCGAAAGAGGAGCGTATAGGATGCATGTGGGTGCGTTCCGCAGCAACATGGAGACCAACGTGCTTGGCTTGCTGGCTGGCTGTCACCCAGGCGGTTGTTCCTCACATGGTGGAGCAGGTGAGGTAGGGGGAGTAGGTGGGTGGGATGGTAGCAGGTGGGCCAACGGAGAAGAATCAGGCGCTGAGTCGATTTTTTAGGCGCCTCAAAAATCAGGCGCTGAGTGTGGATGCTGTCCGCAGCAACATGGAGACCAACGTGGCTGGCTTGCTGGCCGTCACTCAGGCAGTTGTTCCGCACATGGTGGAGGTAACAGGTGAGACGAGAGGTAACAGGTGAGGCGAGGTTGGCCAGGTGGGTGTGGTGATGTGATGGGTAAATAGGCTAGTTTGTGCCTGCTCACCTGATTTCCCCTACTTATCCCTCTTCCCTTGCATTCTCCGTCTCCCCTCCTTGATCTGTCTACCCCCTCGCTTGAATCCCCAGGGCATTGGCAAGGTCGTGAACATAGGGTCGGTGTCAGCATGGGTCACCACGCCCTTCGCTGGCACCTACTGTGCCGCCAAGGCACGCAGGCAGACTGGCAGCAGCTCACAGCATCTCACTCCCTTGCCTCCCTTGCATCCCTCCCTTCTCCTTCTGCTTCCCCATCCGCTCCTCTCATAAACCCGCAGGGAAGCGGCAAGGTCGTGAACATAGGGTCGGTGTCAGGATGGGTCACCACGCCCTTTGCTCACCTGATCCCTCCTATCGATTCTTCTTCCCTTGCATCCTCCGCCTCTCTCCCCTCCTTGTCTATCTCACCCCTCTCCCAAATCCTCAGGGCAGTGGCAAGGTCGTGAACATAGGGTCGGTGTCAGCATGGGTACCTCGCCCTTTGCTGGCACCTACTGTGTTGTGCACACCACAATGCACCTACTAACTATCCGTTTCTCCCTCGCCTCTCCCTTCTCTCCCTTTGCAGGGCAGTGGGAAGGTCGTCAACATAGGGTCGGTGTCAGCATGGATCACCACGCCCTTTGCTCGCCTGATTCCTCCCATCCACCCCTCTCCCCTCCGTCACTGTCTCCTCCTGCTTTAATCTGCAGGGCAGCGGCAAGGTCATCAACATAGGGTCGGTGTCAGCATGGGTCACCACGCCCTTTGCTGGCACCTACTGTGCGGCCAAGGCAGCAGTGCACAGCATCACACACGCGCTCAGAATGGAGCTGAAACCCTTCGGCATTCAAGTCATGCTCGTCGCACCAGGCGCCATCAGGTAGGAGAGGGTTGTTCCTGATGTTAAGTTTTCGAAAGAGCACCTACTGTCCAGCCAAGGCAAGGCAGCAGCGCACAGCATCACTCACGCTCTTAGAATGGAGCTGAAACCCTTCGGCATCCAAGTCATGCTCGTCGCACCAGGCGCCATCAGGTGAGAGAGGGCTGCAGAGTTGACTTAGAAACAGCACGTAAGGTGTGGCCAAAGGCAGATTGCCAAGGCAGCAGTGCACAGCATCTCTCACACGCTCAGAATGGAGCTGAAGCCGTTGGGCATCCAAGTCATGCTCGTTGCTCTGGGCGCCGTCAGGTGAGGTGCTTTCACTGGCTGGATGGCTGGTTGGATGCCTTGCAGTGGCAGGCACTTGCTGTGCAGCCAAGGCAGGAGTGCACAGCATCACACACGCGCTCCAAAGCCGTTTGGCATCCAAGTCATGCTCGTTGCTTCGGGTGCCATTAGGTAGGAGGAGGGGAACGTGCACGCACTCGCTGGATGGCTGGTTGGATGCCTTGCAGTGGCGGGCACTTGCTGTGCGGCCAAGGCAGCAGTGCACAGCATCACACACGCACTACAGATGGAGCTGAAGCCGTTTGGCACTGAAAGATGTCTCGGGGTACGAGGCTCCCCATAAGAGGTTGCCTTTGCTAGTCAACAACAGCATCTCTCTCTCTCTCCCCATTCCGTGTTCTCCTACCCCCTGCTGCCCTAGTCCTTACTTCCGTACCCTCCCCTCCCCTCCCCTCCCCTCCCCTCCCCTCCCCTCCCCTCCCCTCCCCTCCCCTCCCCTCCCCTCCCCTCCCCTCCCCTCCCCTCCCCTCCCATCTCATCCCCTCCCATCTTATCCCCTTCGTTCCAAACCCATGTCCAACTTCGGTGGCAATTCTTCTTCTTCTGTCTCCCACCTGCGTCTCAAGATATTCACCCGCTTCCAGAAGCAGATAGAGGCCAGGGCGGGGGCCTCTCAAACGCCCCAGTCCACGCCAGGAGACGTGTTTGCGAGGGCTCTAGTGGAGGTGAGGTTGGGAAGGTTGTTTGTGTGTGCTCGTGCGTGTGTGCATATGCTACATGCATGTGCAATTGCATGTCCTTCCAGAAGCAGACAGAGGCCAGGGCGGGGGGCTCACAAACCCCGCAGTCCACGCCAGGAGAGGTATCCGCGAGGGCTCTGGTGGAGGTGAGGGTGGTGTGGGGTGGTGTGGGGTGGGAAGGGTGGTCAAGGTGTTGCATGTGCATGTTCACATGTGTGTGCCTGTGCTTTCAGCAGAAGATAGAGGCTCGTGCAGGGACCTCTCAAACGCCCCAGCTCCACGACAGGAGACGTGTTCGCCAGGGCTTTAGTAGAGGTGAGGGTGGGGAGGGTGGTGTGAGGATGGCTTGTGTGTGTGTGCCTGTGCTTGCAGCAGCAGATAGAGGCTCGTGCAGGGACATCTCAAACGCCCCAGCTCCACACCAGGAGACGTGTTTGCAAGGGTTCTGGTAGAGGTGAGATTGGGAGGGTGCTGTTGTGATGGTTTGTGTGTGCATATGGATATGTGTGTGCCTGGGATTTCAGCAGCAGACGGAGGCCAGGGCAGGGGTCTCGCAAACGCCTCAGTCCATGCCAAGAGTCGTGTTCGTGAGGGCTTTAGTGGAGGTGACGGTGGTGGTGAGGTGGTTTTGAGACGTCTCGCCTCAGTCCACGCCAGGAGACGTGTTCGCGAGGGCTCTGGTGGAGGTGAGACTTTGAGGAGTGTGGCGGGGTGCATTTGTGTGTGAGAGTGTGTGTCTATGCGCCTCTCAGACGCCCCAGTCCACACCAGGAGACGGGTTCGCGAGGGCTCTAGTGGAGGTGAGGGTGGGAAGGTGGTGCATAAGCTGCATGTATATGTGTGTGCTTGTGTCTTCAGCAACATAGAGGCTCAGGCATGGGCCTCGCTAACGGCCCAGTCCACACCAGGAGACGTGTTTGCAAGGGCTTTAGTGGGGGTGAGGGTGGTGCATAAGCTGCATGCATGTGTGTGTGCCTGTGTCTTCAGCAACATAGAGGCCAGGGCAGGGACCCGTCAAACGCCCCAGTCCACGCCAGGAGACGTGTTCACGAGGGCTCTAGTGGAGGTGAGGCTGGTGGGGGGGCGCTTTGTGTGTGCATATGCCTGCATGTATGTGCACTTGTGTATGTGTTCGTAGCAGCAGACGGGGGCCGTGGCAGGGACCTCTCAAACGCCCCAGTTCCACACCAGGAGACGTGTTCGCGAGGGCTCTAGTGGAGGTGAGGGTGATGGTGAGGCGGTTTTGGTATGTGTGTGTCTGGGCGTCTGGGCGGCTGGGCGTGTTGTGTTTGCATGTGCATGTGCATGTGCACGTGTGCATGTACCTGTGAGGTGACGGTGGTGGTGAGGTGGTTTTTTTATGTGTGTGTCTGGGCGTCTGGGCGGCTGGGTATCTGGCTGTCTAGGCATCTCGGCGTGTGCATAAGTGTGTGCGTTTGCTGCATTCATATGTGCATGCGTGTGCATGTGCATGTGCATGTGCATGTGCACGTGTGCATGTGCATGTGAGGTGACAGTGGTGGTGAGGTGGTTTTTGTATGTGTGTGTCTGGGCGGCTGGGCGTCTGGGTGTCTGGCCGTCTTTTTGAGACGTCTCAAAAATACCCTCTATACAAGTGGAGGTGACGGTGGTGGTGAGGTGGATTTTGTATGTGTGTGTCTGGGCGTCTGGGCGGCTGGGTGTCTGGCCGTCTGGGCATCTGGGCGTGTGCATAAGTGTGTGCGTGTGCTGCATTCATATGTGCATGCGTGTGCATGTGCATGTGCATGTGCATGTGTGTGTGTGTGTGTGTGTGTGTGTGTGTGTGTGTGTGTGTGTGTGTGTGTGTGCATGCGCATGTACATGTATGCACGTGTGCATGCATTGCATGTGCATGTGCGTGTTTGTGTGCCCATTTGATGGTTTGAGAATTCGGTGAGTTCACTTCGTGCAGATTTCACATGCATCTCTTGCCTTTCTATCCCCTCTCCCTCTATTTCCCTCCCCCCCACTGCCAGAAAGCCTTGGCCAAGAAGGTACCAATAGAGTGGGCGTTTGGGCACCTGGTGGGATCATTACGTGTCATGACATGGCTGCCTTACATCTTCCACTTACATCCCGTGTCCCCGTCCCCCCTTTCCCTCCTCATTCTCCCCTTTTCCCTCCCCCCGCCCTCCACCAGAAAGCCTTGGCCAAGAGGGTGCCGATAGAGTGGGCGTTTGGGCACCTGGTAGGGTCATTTCGAGTAATGACATGGCTGCCTTACAGCTTCAGGGATTCTGCACTCATGAAGAAATTTGGACTCACCAAGTAGGGTGACTTCGTTGTTCAACCCGTATAAAAAAGGTTTAGGTACCGTAGTTCACATTTGCTTTTCGCATTCTGATGTTGCTGACTGGCTGGCATTTGTAAGTCGTCTTCAAGACCATGCCCTCTTGCATGTATTTGTGCCTATCGCTATAATTAGGTGTAGAATGGTATGCATCATGTTGCAATGGGTGGTTGAGTTTACATCAGGAAGGACACGGGGCGGGGTTGTTAGCTATACGAGCACGATGTGGAGCAACCTCTCTGGGAATCAGCATTGAGAATAGGCGATTCAGTGCACGATGAGTAGTGTATGGCTACGTTTGGGGCAAACCGTAAGATCGTATTCGACCAGACCTTTGCTCCGTCGGCCGACATACCTCCGTATGGATTCTAATCACCATCACTGTTACAATCCCAAGTGGGACTTAGCGAAGGATCGCTCAGGGTTGATCGTAGAGTAGTGTTGCAGCGGAAGTTTTGAATCTCAGGTCAGAGTGAATGTAAATGACTGAGTTGATAAAAGCATGCATACATCGGGTTTATATAAGAGTACAGGGGAATATGAAAAGACCTAGACTAGCCATGTACTCTAAGGGGTACATTCCCTTATTGCAGCGAAATTCAAACCGTGCGGCGCGGGAACCCGTTTCAAACCTGTTCCCGCTCTTTTCACTTCAAATGTTTCTGCCTGCATCGGTCTTGGTCAGACGGTTGCTGCGTCGCTTCGACTCTTCTGACTCCTCGACTTCGTACTCGGTAGAGTCGGCTCCTGCAGCATACAGGAATGCCTACTCATTCAATTTCATATCGTAACACTCCCCTTCATTCCTGGGCGCAGGAGGAGCTGACTCGCTTGACTACTCCGGTGAGGTCGGAGCAGTGCTTGTACTGCTGACGTGGCAGGCGCTTGGTGAGGAAGTCTGCTGCCATCTCAGTAGTCGGGCAGTAGGCGAGGTCAACTTTTCCTTGGTCAATTTCGTCCTTGACGAAAAAGTACCGGAGTGCGATGTGCTTCGTGCGGTTCACGAAACCTGGCTTGTTCGCGATCCTGATGGCACTCTGGTTGTCGCAGTGGAGGCGAAAGGTTGGCGAAGTTGGAATTTTCGCTTCCTGTAGCAGCTCCTGCAGGTACAGGCCTTCGCGAACCGCTGCTGTCGCGGCGATGTATTCTGCTTCAGCCGATGACAGGGCAACCAGCTCCTGCTTCTGCGAGTTCCAGGAGATTGGCCCAGTTGGTTCCAAGCGAAAGACGAAGCCGGTTCGAGACCGTCGATTTGCAGGGTCAGCTGCATGATCTGCGTCCACGTAGCCGTTGAGGTTGAAGGAGGTCGTTGTCAGCGTGGAGTAGGAGAGCCCAATGTCAGGTGTAGAGATGAAGTACTGCAGGGCGCGCTCCAGGTCCAGCTGGTTCTCAGCTACTGGCCTGCGGGAATATTGTGCCAGCTGGCTAGCGATGTACGAAAGGTCGGGTCGGCAGGTGACAGAGGCGAATAGCAGGCACCCCAACTTCTGCTGGTACAATTGGAGCCCTGCGGGTGACAGTGGTTTGTTGTCCAGTTTGTAGTTGGCGCTGGGGTTGTGGTAGGGAGTTGAGAGTGGTGCGGATGAGATGTTGAAGCGTTCCCCCAGCTGCTCTGCGTACTTGGAGGCTGACAGGTGAATTGCTTCTGGCGCGTAGGTGATGTTCAGCCCCAAAAACTGCTTCACGTTGTGGTTGATAGTGATGTCCACGCGCTGCGCCAGGTTCTCCTCAAACTGGTTAAGGAGTTTGTTGCAGGTGCCCGTGTACAGCAGATCGTCGACGTAGACTGTCAGAAGGATGTAATCGCCGCTGAAGTGAAGGCGATACATTCCCGGGTCGTGCGGCAGCTGCTTGAAACCGATCTCCAGGAGAATTTTGTGCAGATGCTGCTGCCAGAGACGGGGCGCCTGCTTGATCCCGTAGAGGGACTTCTTCAGCTGACAGACTCTAGGATCCCCTTCTGCGTAGGTGTGAGGCTGCTCCACGAAGATGGTGGCGTCCACCAACGCGTATAGAAACGCGTTCTTCACGTCGATCTGTCGCAGTGGTAGGTGCTTAGCGGCGGCAATGGCGAGTAGGATTCTGACGGAGGTGTGACGACTGACGGGAGCGAAGGTCTGGTCGAAGTCGATGCCGTGGCGCTGATCGTACCCACGTACGACCCAGCGTGCCTTGAATCGCTCGATGGTGCCGTCAGCGTTAGTCTTCAGGCGAAAAACCCATTTTCCGCTGAGTACCCTTCTCCCCTTCACTGCTGCACGATCGACTAGAACCCACGTGTCTCGAGATTCCATCGCTTTCAGCTCCGCATCCATCGCAGCACGCCACTCCTTGGCGTGAGGACCGGTCAGAGCCTGGCGAGGATTCTTTGGCTCCACTGCCCGTGCAAGAGTAGTGACGGACGTGTGTAGGCCGAGTAGTTGCAGGCCGGACACATTGGTGGTGTCAGTGTTGGTGGGGACTTCCACCACGTCGTCATCTCCGCTCTCGTAGCCGGGCGTTGTGGTGCTTGCCTCTGCTTGGCGCCGTGATGGACCTGGCGCGGGATCGTCGTCACTGTCATCGTTGTCGTCGTCGCGTGGGCGAGGCGGGATGCTGGGGTGTTCGTCGGTGTCGTCGCGGTCCAGTGTTGCTGCTGCGGCTTCGTCTTCTGGAGTTGCTAAGCTGCGACCGCTGCTGACGTAGCCGCGTGCTTCGTTGCGCCGCTCGTCCTCGATCCACTGCTTCAAGGTGAGCCGTTCGTAGAAGAGAATATCACGCGCGGGAACAACTTCCTTGCTGTCCATGTCGAGGATGAGCCAACCCTTGTGCTCATTACTGAGGCCCAAGTGAATACCCCAGCGCGCGCGATGAACGAACTTGCCGATGGTGGCCGATGTGGGCCGGTACTGCACCATGCACCCCCAGACCCTTAGCATGGAGGGGTCTCCCCTTGAGCCGATCCACTTCATGTGAGGGGACAGATTTTCCCTGTTGGCGGTGGTGGAGAGGAGGTTGTGCAGACGCACCGCGTGGTTCATGGCGTAGGGCCAGAACTTCTTCGGCATGCCGGACTGGTTCATGAGTGCGCGCACTTTTGTCATGAGGGTGCGGTTAACCCTCTCTGCGACGCCTTGCTGCTGGTGAGCGTAGGGGAGTGAGATCTCATGCTTGATCCCTTTCTCTGTGAGGACACTCTCCAGTTCGTTGCTGCGGAATTCCTTAGCCCCATCACTCTGCCAGATCTTCAGCTTCCTTCCTGACTGGTGCTGCGCGTGCGCGAGGAAGATGCGGAATATTTCCGGAGCCTTGGAGCGAGCGTCGACGTTGGCGATCCACACATGGCGCGAGTAGGCGTCAATGAAGGTGAGGGTATATTTCTCGCCGTTGATGCCGTCGAAGGTGAGCACGATGAAATCGCTGTATACTTTCTCCAACTTCTTGTAGCGGTTGGTGCTCGGCTCCAGGGAGGGGTAGGCGCTGTAGGAGAGAGCGGCTGTGGGGCAGACAGTGCAGGTTGATTTCGCGGGGGTGAGGACTGCGGCGAACCCATGGTCGTCCGTCTGGGTGCTCCCGCTTGCTTGTGTAGGCAAACTCGAGGGGAACGAGGTCCACGAGCTCGTCGGATGAAGCTTGGCAGGAAGGTACGTCGAAGTCAAGGACGTATATTCCGTTGATCGAGCGGGCTCGTCCGAGGTATTTGAACGACTCGGGAGGGGTATCTGGAGGAGCGTATGTGAGGATAAGATCGCGTGTGGCAAGGTCCGTGGTGAGGATGACGCCGCAGTCGCGAAGTTGTCCTGCCGAGAGGAGATTGAAACGAAGATTTGGGACGTAGAGTACGTCGTTGAACGAGATGTGTGTGTTGCTGTCTCGTGCTTGTAGGACCACGATGCCTTGCGCATTGGCGCGCAGTTGCTCGTTG